CCTTAGTTCTTATATGTTTTTATTTAATGCATTTGATTTATTTGTATTCAATACTATGTTTAACATATTCTTCATTAGGCTTATTTCACCATCACCACCAACTGCAATCATTGAGAATGTTGTCTATTTTTTCAGGTTGAAATTTCAAACTCACAAGATTTAGACCAAGAACATCTATTGAAAAATAGCGAAATTAACATTACAATCAGAAAATTTTCAGAAGAGATTTGTTTCAGAGCGTGAATTAACAAACAATTAAGATTAATGTGTGAAAGCATGGACAGTATTTTTTCTCTCCATCTTTTTTCTGTTGTTACAAAAAGGGATCAAAATAAACCTTGCTGTGAAGAGGCCCTCCACAATAAACAACACACCAGAAAACTAAGGATTAGAATACGGAGCTAAAGGAAAGACTGTTACCTACCCATCTAACTCTATGACCTTTTAAGCCTGGAGCTAACTAGTAAAAGGATAATTTGTTTGCTCACACACATGCACACAATATCTGACACTCAATACAAAATATACATAGGAGCACTGAGAGTAAGTTTCAACACAGTTCTATATATCATATAATTAATATTTTCCTCAGTTGTACACCATAGTCAAAACGTAGCTCATTGTTTTCATCCCTATATACACATGGTATAATTCTGTTCTAAAGTAAGAGCTGCACTCTCAGCTCGGCCACACAGCCTAAGACAACCAGACAATACTGGAGATATGTATAAACTTACTAGCATCTGATTTTGTGAGCTAATGGTGATGTTTTTACCCTGTATGTTTAATCACAATTTAAACTAAATTGCTAGGATACAACCTCAGTTTGGTATTCTGGTCCATTTATCATCAAAAGTCATATTTTAAAAAAAACTGTGGTATTCTCAGTGAAACTTGGAACACTGTTCTCAACATGCAAGAAATACCACAAAAATAAGCTCTTTTCATACTATTTACCAAGACAACCAACCAGTACAAAAAAAGTAAAAGAAAGGGAAGAGACAATACTGGAACAAAACAAAGCAAAATGAACAGAGGATAAACAGCTACAGGCAAAATGAAGAGGAGACATCAGGGCAGAACCAATGCTGCTGGCCATTGTATATTTCTGTCAAAGTGGCTACTAAGCCCTACCTTTAAATCAACTGTGTCGTCTTCTGCACTTGCCCTCTCATCCCTCATCGCTTTTCTCGAAGGGCTACAACTACACTGCAGCACTATTTCAGGATACCAGAGGTACCCCAAAAAAAGCTATTCTGCGTCTTTCAGAGTCCCCGTTATTTCAAAATATAATGGGCTCGCTATTCTGACGTTCTTGTACACCTCATTCCACAAGAGGCAAGAGACATTTTGGAACAGAGATTCATTTCCAAATAAGTGCTGTGCAGACAGCACCAAATTTCAAAATAAGCTATTCTGAAATAACATTGAAATAAGACCGCAATTTGCATAGCTCAAATTGCTTATTTCGAGTTAAAGTGCAGTGTAGAAGCACTCCCACCGTCCACATCTCCTAATGTCTGCTCAGGAACTGCCACCTCTGCTCCCATTAACTCTTTTACCATCTGCATAATCCCTTTTACTCAGCTGCTAAACACTTCCAAGCCTCTACAATTAATAAAAGGCCAAAACCAGATTACTACTGTAATGCGCAGTGCTGAGAAAGTGTAACTCTCATATTAGTGTATCTTTATTTGAAGACATAAAATTAATATTAGCAGCATGACCACATACACACATTAATGTAAAAACAAAAATCAAAAGACCCAAGATATATTGCTCAAGGTAAAAACATGATCTCATATGAAGATATCCTGAATTACTAAATGTTCCCAGAAACTCTTTTTAAAGGAACTTGGAAATGAAAGGCTGCTGAAAGGGCATAATTTGTCTGTCACTTCTTTTTACACTTTTGCTGTAGGAGGACAAGGCCTCCTATTTATGATTATTTACACAAAAAGTGACACATTACATAGTTTTATGTACTATGATGATTGTTGCATGCACAGCTAATATTCAATTTAATTTGCTGGTATTCAGTCCCACTTTTGTGGGAGATGTTCATAAGCAGGCAATGTTCTTACTCAAGTGTACAAGGTAATGCATTTAACATCTTAACTTCTGTGGTTTTTTCCTATTTTACAGGTAACCATTTTTGTGATCTTACTGTAGAAATTCTGCCATCTTCCAAAATGGAGAAAAAATGCTTGAATCTCAGGGTTTACAGTGAGAACTGAATGATTTGGTTGACTTAAAGTGAATTTGTCTATGATAATTACAGTGATAGGTGTTTTGAACACCTTCTATTAACACTGTTTCTTAAAATGTAAGAAGAATACCCAATGTAGCTCAAAAGATTTAAAAATTAAGATATGTACAGCTTTACCATCATATGGCCAAGCTAAGAGAGAGTATTGATGTCATTTTCCTAAATGGGACTCAGCTTTGAAAACTGTGGGAAACTAAGCTCTAAGAACAGCAGAAGCACTGTATGTCCACTTTGTTGAAATCTAAATTTCATCTATGAACCTGTAGGGACTAAGGCAAGCATAGACAAAATATGGCCTGTGGGCTGGATCCACTGAGAAATGTGGCTGCTGGGCCCTGTTTCTGTTTCAAAACTATTGGGAAGGGGAGAACACTTCAGGAGCTGCCCCTCCCCCCAAACACAATCCCATTAGCTGGTTTCTGGCCAGAAACTGGCCAATAGGAGCTTGAATAACAGGTAGCCAAGAAGAACCCTGCCCCATCTCCTTGGCTTAGTTATTCACATAAGCACATGGCTGGGCAGGAAGGCTGGCTGGCTGGGAAATGTTTTAAACTCTGCAAGCCTTAATTCTGCAGGCAGACAGGTTTGGCTGCTGGCTGGTAAGTCTCCTGACCAGATCCTGCTTCTGGCACTCCAGCCCTTCTCTTCCCCAACCCTTTGCCCCCCCCATCAATATATCCAAACCCTTGCCCCCCTCTTGTACCCATATCCCCTCCCAGATCTGACACCCCAATCTCATGCCCCAGATCACAATCTCCTTCTACCCTAGGTCATATCCTAAACCCCTGTACTCCAGTCCCCTGCCCTAGGTCACAACTGCCTGTTTCCTCCCAACTCCCTCCCAGACTACATTCTCCCTCCTGCACCCCAGCCCCTTACCCCAAGCTCCCGTCTGCACCCAACCTTCATCCCAGATGCCACATCTCGTCCATTAATATCATGGAAGAGTACGGCCCTCGACCACTTTCCAAAATTTTGAAGTGGTCCCCCATCAAAAATTATTGCCCACCTCTGGACTAGGGCATGGGCTCAAGCCTAATAGTTATACATCAGGAATTAGAACAAGAGAGACAAGAGTCAAACCAGGGCCCAAGCAAAACGCTGAATCTGGCATCAGACTCAAGGTACACAGGTTGAACCTCTGTAATCCGGACTTCCCAAGTCCATCAACACCCCTAGCCCAGCATCGTTGGCAACCCTGTGGGTGCTCTGGGGCTGGAGAACTCTCAGGGAAAAACAGGCAGATTGGGGCCAGGAGTCTTGCTGGACTAGGGAAGAGCTGAGCTCTAGGGCCAGCATCCTGGAGCCCTGGCAGAGCCCAGCTGGAGGTTAGGAATGGAGCCTTTGGATCTGGTGACCAGGGTTGGAGGGGACAATATTGACCTCCACTGGTATGGCAAATTCCCTGGTATTAGACTGAGTAAGTTCAACCTGAACTACAGTCTAGGATCAGGGGGATTGGGAGTGAGGTGGGAAAGCAGGTACCAGGAACAGACAAGGATCTGGGATTAGGAGGGTGAGACTAGGAAGGCAGAGTTCAACAATCAGGCAAGTTAGGCAAGATTCATAGCAGCAGCCAGCTAGAAAGTCACTCAGACAACTTCCTATGCCTCTTTCTGGTTTAAGTATGGTCTTCGCCAATGGGTGGAACTAGACATCTTCCCCCAATCAGAAGCTTCATGGGTGGGTCCTTTGTGAGCTAGAGCTTTCACTACCTCCCTTCTCTACTGTATCAGATGAGCTGCTGGGTGACAATCATGATCTCAGCACTGCCTAGGAATCCATGGGTCCAGGTCTACAGTCCACAATCACTTAGGCTATGTCTACACCGCACAGTTATATTGGAATAAACTATTCCGGAATACTTATTCCAAAATAGCACAGCTATACTGCAGGGAAGCCTCAAAATTAGCCCAAGGCAGGCTTCCCTAATGTACATGTGCTATCTCGATTTAGAGCCCCAGGCAGAATAACTTAGAATGGCCCTGGTGAGGAACTATTTCAAAACAGCAGAAGTGGAGCATCTACACACACCTTATTTCAAAATAGCTATTTCACAATAGGCGTTATCTTTCATAGAACGAGGTTGTCAGAAGTTGGAATAAGCCGTCCATTATTTCAAAATAACGGAATTGTTGTGTAGTTATTGCTCACATGGTTATTTCAGAATAACGACCGTTACTCCAAAATAATTTTGCTGTGTAGACACATCCTTTCTGAACTAAGAAAGGGTTAGGTTCAAATTTTATTGGAAAAGAAATTATGTCGTGTATTTAAAACTGGGACTATATAGCATTTAAGATTGGAAGCCTCAATGCTCCAAGTGACACAGAACATATGAACACGACTAATCCAGCTCACCAGAAGCCATCTTTTTAGCATCACAGAGAAACTGCATTTTATGTATTCCATTTTCTGACCAAGCTGACAGCTAGAAAACAGATTTTTTCTAGATCTTTTGTCTGACCATTATTTGAGGCAGGCAATAGCTGGTAATTTTATTACCTTCTCCAAGTTAGTGAGAAAACTCTCATTTAGCTATATTATGAAAATATGTTCCTTTGTATATAAGTATTATGGTGTTAAAAATGGGGACATTTTGCATAATCCTTAATTCTGAGAGATTTAAGTACGTAATTACTTTAATTCAATGTAATATTGTAGTTCTATTAAAGCTACTGTAAAATCTGAAGTAAAAAACAAATGACTAGTTGTGTGCAGAGATTCTTACCTTCTCTGAGAGCTGTGGTTCTGAAACAACTCTGAATCACTGTCCTTTGACGTTGGAGAACCCTTATATGTGTAAAAAACATCCTCTGTTTCTGTAATATAGGCAATCTCATTTGTAAGGTTGTCTACGGATGAGTGCCGTGGTTTACGAATCTCATGACGCAATCTAGGACTCCTCCTTAAGAGAAATACAAGTAGGTTGAAACAGAATCCTTTGGAAAATTCTTTTAAAATGACTAATTCTATTGCAAAACATGCCCTGAGATCTAAATTACAGCACACTAAGTTTCACTTCAGCAGCAGAAAAATTGGTTGCAATTATACAAGTATGGAACTGGAAGGGACCTTGTGGTATCATTAAGTCCAGCACTCTGTGCGGAGAAAGAACAAAATAAAGCAGAACTATCCATGACGTGTTTGTCTAATCTGTTCTTCAGACCCTCCAATAATGAGAATTCCATGACCTCCCTTGAAAGCCTATTGCAGTGTTTAACTATCCTTATAGTTAGAAACTTTTTCATAATATCTATCCTAAGTCTCCCTTGCTGAAGATTAAACCCATTGCTATTTCTCCTACCTTCACTGGACATTGAGAACAATTTATTATTATCCTCTTTATAAACAGCTCATAACATATTTGAAGACTTATATCCCCCATCAGTCTTCTCTTCTCGAAATGAAACATGCCCAGTTTTTCAGCCTTTCCTCATACAAAAGGTTTTCTAAACCTTTTCATTTTTGCTGCTCTACTGTAGACTCTCTCCAATTTGTCCTCATCTTTCCTAAAGTGTAGCACTCAGAATTAGAAACAGTACTCCATCTGAGGCCTCACTAGTGCAGAACAGAGAAGGATTATCACCTACTGTGTTTTACATATAAGATTGTTATTATACCCCAGTATGATATTAATGATTATTAAATATTTCTTAAAATCTTGGTTAGTTCCATGTGATGATACAATGTACAAACCACAGCAAATTAACTGAAATCTGTAATATGAAAGTGCTTTCACAAAGAAATAAACTGATTAATTTTTCCCAGAAATGTGTTATAATGGTCAATTTCCTTGGTAGATAACTTGTTTTAAAATAACTTAGACTTTAACAAAATATACACACTATAATAAATTATATACAATGCCTTTATGTTCTGTATTATAAGTGTACAATAAAATTGAGCAACTGTTTTTTTTCCTTTGGTTTTTTTTGGTAAGGCTTAAACTTTGTTTACCAATTAGGGGTAACAGGAGGAGACCGAGAAGGAAGGCTTTTGGTCTCTAGGTTTTCAACAGATAAAGATCTCCTCATAGTTGGGTTCCAAACCATTCCACCTATGACTTTTCTGAAATACTGGCTGTTTACAGACCTGAAAGGAAATAAAAATGCCCTTTAGAATAACTTTTTATATAGAATATGAAATCAGTTACATTTATGTAAATACATTTCATATGTAATTGTGATTTCAACTGAGAGGAAATGCTTCAAAAATCCTGATAGAAGAAAAACACTTTCATTTCAGCAAGATATAGTTAAGATCAAAGCAGACTATGAAGAGCTTCAAAAAGATCACACCAAACTAAGTGATTGGGCAACAAAATGGCAAATGAAATGTAATGTTGCTAAATGTAAAGTAATGCACATTGGAAAAAATAATCCCAACTATACATACAGTATGATGGGGACTAATTTGGCTACAACTACTCAAGAAAGAGATCTTGGAGTCACTGGTCAATTCTCTGAAAACATCCACACAATATCAAAAAGCAGTAAAAAAAGCAAACAATGTTAGGAGTCAAAAAAGGGAGAGAGAATAAGATAGAAAATATCTTATTGCCTTTATATAAAACTATGGTACGCCCACATCTTGAATACTGCATAAAGATGTGGTCAATTCATCTCAAAACAGATATATTGGCACTGGAAAAGATTCAGAAAAAGGCAACACAAATTATTAGGGGTTTGGAACAGGTCCCATATGAAGAGAGATTAAAAAGACTTGGACTTTTAATCTTAGAAAAGAGGAGACTAAGGTGGAATATGATAGAGGTCTATAAAATTATGACTGGTATGGAAAAAGTGAATAAGGAAAAGTTATTTACTTATTTCCACAATATAAAAACTAGGAGTCGCCAAATGAAATTAACAGGCAGCAGGTTTAAAACAAACAAAAGGAAGTTTTTCTTCACTCAGCACATAGTCAACCTCTGGAACTCCTTGCCAGAGGATGTAATGAAGGCTAGGACTTTAAGTGGGTTCAAAAAAGAGCTAGATAGATTCATGGTGGTTAGGTCCATCTATGGCTATTAGCCAGGATAGGTAGAAATGGTGTGTCTAGCCTCTGTTTGTCTGGGAATGGGTGACAGGAGAGAGATTACGTGAGGATTACTTGTTGTGTTCCCTCCCTCCGGTATCTGAAGACAGGATAGATCAGGGTTTCCCAACCTATGGGTCGGGTCCCAAATATGGCTCGCCATTACATTTCAAAAGGGTTGCCAGGTGTCTCCCCAGGTGGCTCTTAAGGAGCCATTCACATATTTTTTGAATTGCTCTAGGTCACCAAGTCTTCCTGAATTGTCAAAATGGGTCCCAATCTAGAAAAGGCTGGGAACCGCTGGGATAGATGGACCGTTGGCCTGACCCAATATGGCCGTTCTTACGTGTTTGGTTCACTAATTCATATCCAAATTGTTTTTTGGTTTTTTTAATATTAGATAGATAGAAGTTTCTTACTTTGTTTTGCAAATCTGAATTCCAATCTAGTTAATAGATGTAATTGGCAAATAATATTAATGCTGTCATTATTTTGTTAAAACTAATAATTCAATGATTTCATCATTACCTAAACTTTCTCAAAAATTAATTTTTCTTCATTTAAGACCTGCAACATTTACATGCAATTCTCATTTAAGTGACAGGAAACTAGATGTAGAAAGACTGGCAAAATAAGGCAATGCTCGTGTACATAATTAAGAGCCTCATTCTTAAAAATTATGTTTGTTCAAATGTTATACTATGAAAGTTACACACACTAATTAGAGTAACTATTGTGTCTTGAAGGAATAAGTTCTCATATGTTTATTAAAGCAATATTGACACAATCAGCTTTAACATCCACTAATTTGAAAAAAGTGAGCATCATGGTAAATTATAGGACAGTCTTATGTATGAATTTTTTACTGTAACGTTATATTAACTAATGATTAGCCACACATCTCATTTTTTATTTTTATCCTAGTTTCAGAAAAAATAAGGCCACACTCCACTGAGATGCTTATTCTTGTTGCTAATTTTTTAAATTTCAACTGCTAAGATGATCTGCATCTAAGAGTGAGTCATGGAGAAAGTCCTACACTTCTCATGAAAACTGTAGGTGGAATGGAGGCGGTAATAGTGATGTGAGGTCTGGGATCTGGAACAGTGCCAAAAATAAGTACTGCTCAAACGAAGGATCAGAAATATATTAGGCCCATTTTCTCATAAATGGTCATAGCAATTAAATGTTATATCATTAGTAACAGGGATTCCCACCATTTTGACAACTCGTAGGATGGATATGTAGGCTGTGATTTATGAACTCTCTCAACACTAACTGGTCACCCAGAATAGCACTGCTTTACAGCAGTTATCCAGATCATACTAGACCTAAATTCCCATAGTAAGATCCTTAGATCTCTGCAGTAAGTTTCCTGACTGTATACATTATTATAGTATTTTCCTTCATTTTTATTTTCTGACTGTTTTACCATTTCCTTCCCCCAAAAAAAGGTACTAAAGCAAAAATGTATTATTTTATTTTTCCTCCTTGGGGACTATCTGTGACACAACAAAAAGACAGAGGGAAATAATTTTAAGTATGGCAGGTAGAGGTGGAGGTTAGGAAGCAGCTCTCTTTTCCAGTTGAGAATCTGCCCTCCGGCTCTCTGCTGGATAGAACTTGCATGGCACGAGTTAAGATTTCTCTCTTTGGAAAGCTATGAAGCGTGGAGCATATGGCTTTCTGACACACAAAAATATATAGGCAGTGGACTATTGGATAGAAACAATTACCCCTCATTCTAATTAAACAATTATATTTCATTTTCCATAATTTTGCTCTCTGGAACACATGGTAGTTAAAATTCTTTAAGTTGATTTATTAGGTGTCTTTAGTTCTGATCAAAGGATTTGTCATCTATGATTTTAAACTTCATTTCAAAGTTGACTTGAATATCAGCCCACAACTAGAAGTGAAAATGAATGTATCCTATTCTCATATTTAAGGCCAAAAGGGAGGACTGTGATAATCTCACCTGACCTCCTTTGTAAAACAGGCCATAGAACTTCCCCAAAATAATTCCTAGACCATCTCTTTTTAAAAAAATCCAATTTGGATCTCAAGATCATTATCAAGGTATTAATATATTCCATCATACTGTTTGATATGAATGCAAAAAAGAGGAATGAGGGGAAATTGAGGGTGTTTACTTGTTTGGGGACTTTGAAGGGGGAGGGAGAGTGTTTCTTTTAAAAAACCATGATCATTTGTTAGGATGGGGAAAAATCTCCTTTAGAACCTATGGCTATCGTCCATTTTTTTGAAGTTTATGTGCTCACCATGTTACTGAAACTGAAGCCATGCATACTGTAATTGTTCTGGCTCAAATCCCAGAATGATAAGAGTTCCAGTAGCTAGTCTATTATTTTAGATAAAGGCCATATGATTGGCAGCAGTACATTCTTTGGGCAGAAAACAACAAGATTTTTCATTTTACTGGAATAAGTTAATTTAATAAAGTCTTTCAAAACTAACAAAAGAATTTTAATTAGCCAGATGGCAGAAAACTCTAGGTTTTTTCATTGTCAATTTGTTGATGGAACTGGAGACTCACAGGCGTGTTTACCACCACTGAAAAGGAGAAGGCTGCCTGCTTAAAATATATGGTAAGGCTTTTAATGAGTGCATTTTTCTGAGGTACAGAATCCATTGGATCCAGATCACACAATACTGCCACCAGGATCTGGGAGAAGTGGAAAACTTTTTAAATTTACACAAAAAGCTTTAGGGAAAAGAGGAGGGACTGTCAAAATCCTCTAGCTATTAAGAATGGCACCTAAAAGTTCCCAATGAAGAATTTGGTACAATATCTAACAATTGACAAATACCTAGGATTTAAAACACTTTATAACAAATTCTGAGAAAATGTTTTCTGAAATTTTCACTTTTTTTCTCCTGAGTTGACTTTGATGAGGAGTGCTCCAAAAAAGACTAAAGATTCGCTGAGTACCCACAATCTTTGGATTCTCTTCTGAGCTAACTTGTCTTTAGACCTCTGTAGCAATTGTAGCAAAAGATGTGTATATCTATATCAAATGTATCAGACTTCAAAAAAAAATTTTTTTTTGCCCCAAAAGAAAAATTTCTTTTAAAAGGCTTTTGCAATTAGATGCAATATGTATACCAACTAGCTCATATTCTTCTTTTCCCACAGCAGGTATAACCAGGACAATTTGAAAGTTTGGTTTTATTTGTATTTTTGTTTTAAATTGTCTACAAAAAAAATCCTCCTTAAGCTAGGTAATCTTACAATGTGCAATACCACTTATTTTCCAATATAGTAAATTTGTTTGACTACATTCTCTCACCGCAAACCCAGACAGCTTAATTTGTGATGCTTTTATTCTACTGGCTATCACGCTACATAGAGACAAGGGAGAGCTGCCTGCCTTATAAGTGCTAAACAAACTGCACAGATTTGCATGATACAAATAGTGATTTTTATTATAGCAATTTAGAAAAGGTGTAGAATTTATATACAGTACATCTTTTTACATTTTTCATCACAAAACTGCTACTGTGCAAGGGAAATTATTTTTCTCTTCACAAATTAAGTTACTGAGAACCTCAAACTATAGCCTTAATATTTCTATAAAAGTGCCACGGAGACATTACTAATCCCATTAGAAAGACATATGAACACTATGTTTTCAGTTACTGGTGATTAAACTGTACCTGCAATTAAGAACCTTGGAACTCTTTCTGATGGTATGATTTACATGCTAATACCTGAAAAAATGCCTCAAATCAAGAAAGGTAGAAAACAAAACTAAAATACTACATTTTCATTCATTTCTTCAGAAAATTAGCAGCCAGCAAGTTCTGCTGCTCACTTCCTACAGATTTGGAAGTTCCCATCTTTTCATCATTATACAGAATTTAGAAGAGTTAGTATTGCAGGAGCTCCTGAACTACTGAAGCTCCAAATACCTAAATATGTTTTGCATTGCATTACCTCTTGATCACAAAAATCTAAACATTCCACCTGTTCTTATAGCCTATTTAAAAACACTAATTCCTTTGGTAATAGCACCCAAATATTAAGTCCAAATGTATTATAAAGAATAATTGAAAATAGATTCTTGAAAATATTATTCATTCAATTTAGCCATCCTTATTTTAGAACATTATACAGATTTCAATTTAAATCTTAAACCAGTTTAGAATTATGCAGGCTTCATTAGTGTATGATTCTGTCTTCTCTTTTTTCCTTATGAATGTTAAAAATAACAAAATTGTAAAAAAGCTTCCTTACCTCTGTTATTAACATAACCTGAGATTATTAAAACATCATAAATTTTCATCTTTAAACTGCTTATTTCTTTCAACTTTGAAAAGGAAAATAGGCATGTTCATTTTGTAAATGTATTTTATCATTAGTTTCCTGTCACTTTTGCTTTCTGGTTCTCTTATGCCTTTGCACAAGCATTGTGGTGAACCAAGTTTAAATCTTAAAGAACTGTTGTTTTTTTAATTTCATGAAATATTTCTATAAAATTAGGTCCCATAATAAGGATAACATGCTACAATTCTATTCCTGTTTCTACTGGAAGATCTCAGAATGCTCTGCAAACAACAAAACTTCAAGAAAGGTCTTATGAGGAATTAAATTTCTCTTTGCTTTACAGAACGGGAAATACACATAGTGTAGCCAGTCAAAGTTACATACCAAGTCTATGATAGTACTGGAAACAGGATTCAACTCATGAATTACAGTCCCGTGCTTTCAATGTTGAACAGAAAGTGTGTACAAGACTTAAAAATTAATTTTTAAATTAAATAGAAAGTCATGCCTGTAGGCACCATACTCACTTTGTTGGGTTTCTTGACCCAAAGGTCCAATAATGGGACAATATCTTTTTTTCATGAGGCAGTGACTTCTGTGTCTGAAAAAATGTGTGATGCTCTACACAAGATTTCCATAGATTTTTGCATGCTCTGTAATTTAACATGTTGAAGGCAACTATATGTTCTCTGGATTCATTCTATAATAAACAAACACATTATGTGTAAATACAGAATATGCAGATTGACCATATTAAGAAAAGGATGTAAAAGTCAAGTAAAGCTAACATGCATTTTTAAACAGAAAAGTCATCAGTAAGTGCAAAGAATCAACAGAATAAAATAAAATAAAATTGATGGCGCCATAGACTACTTTCAAGTGGTAAAACACTCACTGATTGAGAATCAAGTTTGAAATGTCAAAGATGTCTTTACTTAATCAGTTTTCTGACCACACTTTAAAAAGTTTCCTCGACAAAACTGTGGACCCTGCTTAAGCTGTCTGATAAGATATCAGGTCTTCCAACAATGACCATTCCAAAAACCTTCCACTTTGAAACGTCTATGCCTACATTTTTTAAAGAAAAATAAACACTCTCTCTTTAGAAATAACCCAATCAGACTCAAAATAGTTCTGAAGTTATTTTGTGCTAACATCTACATAGAGACCTCCCAAAAAGCGTACTGCAGAAATGTATAACATTAACTACTGTACTGAACACTGTGAACATGACCATCACCATCATATCAATGTTGTGTTAATTTCAATGAAATAAACAGGTCCAGAGAGTCAGAGGTGCAAACAATCTATCATTGCACAAAACTAAACAGTTAAATAAGGTTCAAGGTTTTGAGTACAGAGACCGTGTTGCCTAAATTCCATGGCAATGATCGTGCACTAAAAATCTTTTGACATTTTTAATTCAAGATACAGAGAAAGGAATAAAAAAACAAATGAAAGCACTTAAAATATAAAGCATTAAATAAGCTTTTCATTTTAATGATATCTCTAGTTCCCTTTCCATTTAACTGTAGAAAGATTTTATATGGAAAATCCCTCCGTTAATGGTCTTTTAGACTAGATGGTATTAAAGATAACTGTCCTTTTCTAGGAAAAGAGAAATAATTGAGATGGGGTGGATGATGTTGTTTAAGCTTGATAATGCTTTTCTGGATGCAAAATAAAAGTCACACACAGAAAAAGGGATAAAAAAGAACATATAAAAATACAGTTTTCTCTTGTGCTGCCTCCTACTTGCAACCTTGCTTCCAAAGAAACACAGGCACAACACACAGTTTTATCAGACACTTTCAAACTAGCAAACTTACACCAGTTTTGGGCTGCTTTTGGCTAACTCTAATCAGAGGTTCTGAGCAGGTTTGTAAAAGATGCGGTCTTGGCTGGCTAAGCCAGACTCTTATTCCAGACAACAAGGAGGGAGAGAGGAAAAAAAGACACGAAAAAAAAGCAGAAGGAAAAGGATACACAATGGAAAGGGTGACAGCTGGAACTCAAGTCTCACATGCCAAGTGTTGTTAGAATCCAGCCAAAGCTAGTAGATGAAGTGATATCATTAGTTTCCTTTCTGTGACTCAGTTTGGTCACCAGGACTTTAGCAATCAGGACAATAAAGAGCCAACAGTTTCATGGTGGGTCCCTGGATCCCAGAAGAAGGTGGGGGTGATCATGATGGTAAACAGTGTTCCCTCTAATTTTATCAATACATGGGTAGAATAAATTTTGTTACATGCACCAAGGCACATGTAAGTGAGTACCACCAATAGAAACACATGCTGCCCCTGTGACAGCTCTGCCAATCAGGTGGGTGGCACCTGAATCTCTCCTGGGCAGCCACCAAAGCACTCCGCTTACAGGGAACACTAATGGTAAAGCTCACTTTTTCTAGTTCCCCCCATCCGACCTGGTGTCATGATTTCCCCAAAGTCTCTTTTAAGGACCCTCCAAATGGGTGGTGATTGAAAAAAATCTCCTAGCACCATTATTTTGTTCAAAAATTAGGCCTAATTTCCCATGCACCAGTTTGTTCCATTCATTTCCAATTCTGTTTTTTGTTTACAATGTTAACCAAGTCCTTGAGTGGTAACAGTAGCCAGTTTTATTTTGACTGATATTTTTATTTCTTTTTAGTACCTTTGTCTATCAACATTTACTGTTATAAATTATTGTGACATATTATTGGCACCTTTCACCCACTTTCCAACAACTGAGTTCATAATTGGGGTAGACCCAAATTATTAAAATATCACCACACACACACACACACACACACACACACACACACACAACATTTCATAACTACTATTTGTTCAATGCCACAAATTTCATGCACTTTCATGAAATCTCATCAATTTACTCATAACAAACTCTATTTTTGTAAACCAATGGGACATCTCCATGAGAAAGGTAAGCAGGATTTGGCAGTTTATATGTGGACATTTTAAATGGAAACCTCTTTTACAGCCAGTCTAACATGCACCTTCCTTCATATATATTTTAAAACTTTAACATGGATCTGTTTATTAACTTTGGTCGATCATTCCAGCAGTGGGCCAACAGAATTACCAAGCCCCACAGCAAGGTGTAGGGAGGCAGCTCCACACTCCCAAAAGGGATGAGGCCTGAGGTGGAAGGGGTGGAGCTAAGATACTAGCTGTCAGCACCTCCCAGACCATGCCACATCACACCCCCTCCAGGCAGTCCTCAGAGCCACCCACAACGCACCGCTCCCGACCCTGGCAGCAATTTAAAGGGCCCAGAGCTCTGACCACCACTGCCGCCAGAATGGCATCAGCAGTAGCCAGGATCCCCAGGTCCTTTTGAATCACCAGGCCCCAGGGCAATTGCCCCCTTTGCCCATCCTCCTCCTCTCCCCAATAAGCAGGCATGCACACTGGACCTAATACAGTATTTGATGATTATGGATATTTCTATTAGAGTGCTTACAGTGAAATAAACAATTTTTAAACATAAGTACGGTGAAACTTTGTTGGGAATTTTTTTGCAATACTGTATATAAAAAGTTATAGCAACAAAAGATTTAATAGCAAATGGCATTTATTAGAATCCTGCTGATGGCTTCAATATTAGTTAAAATGATTAAATTGACACAGCTGTTCCAAAGATGACCAATGCAAGGAAAACTGCAAACCATTTTATGCAGCTATAAAACTAATTTTTAGCCATAAGAATTTATTAAATTTAACATTTCAATTTAACTCTATGCGAAAGACATAGGGTTTAAAAACAAGGGATGAAATTTATCCAATATTTCCTACCTGATTATTTTCCCCTGGACAACGGAAAACATTTTTCGTCTCCAGTTGCAGTCACTAATAACTTTGTATGCTTAAAATTCAGATACTTGCTCTTTTCTCATTTTTGGAAAGTTTTGGGATAATCCAGTCAACTTTTAAAAATTATTAATGAATAAAAAAAATGTTTAATGTAAAAAAAAGACTTCTTACTCAACAGAAGCATAATCCTTTGAAGTGCTCCACAATTATTGACCACTAAAACCATATAGAATCTTACTAAATCAAAGAAACTACAAATGGATTATATGTTTATAATCCCTTTGCAAGATCAGACTCTAGAATAGTTCACAATTTGTGAAGACCATAAGATCAATTAGAGAGGTTTGTGGACTAAGTGCTGGAGCCAATTAAAGTAATAGACTCCCAGGAGTTATGGGAGTACTTTATAATGCCAAACCCTACCCACAGCCAGCAGTCAGTAATGTGCTTAATCAAGTAATACATCTATCAGTTAGAGAAGGTTTACGGATGTGTTTAGAGAACAGCAAATTAGTGACATTTTAATACATGTAAAAATATAGTAATACTGGCTCAGAACTGCCATACGATTAGTATTCAATAAGCAACAAACAAGCCTAATAAAAGCTTTGCACTTTTTAAAAGTATTTTCAATTTTTGCTAGTGAGCAAGCATGGCTTCTAGGGATGTCAACCTGTAGTCAACTACAAGATTAACCAATAAACCTGAGATTATTGGTTTATCTTGTTGACTACACACACTCCTACTCCCCTCGCTGCCTCTGCATCAGAAGCAGCAAGAAAGGGATGGAGGCGGGGGCCAGTGCCTGTGGGGAGTCAGCTTTTAAGTTGCCTCCCCATGAGCACTGGATCTTACAGAGTTGCCTGCCCTCCCAACCCCTGCACTGATGCCTCTGATAAAGAGACAGCAGTGTGGTGGATAAGGGGGGGGAGGGGAGGCAGGTGGGAGCTGGCACAAGCAGGAAACCAACTTTTAATCCAGCTTCCCATGCATATCAACCTACACGGAGCTGCCTGTCCCCCTGCATTACTGCTTTTCTATCGGAGGCAGCAGCATGGAGAATGGGGGTAGGGGTGGGCAGGTGGCTCTATGAGATCCAGTGCATGTGGAGAGCCAACTTAAAAGCCTCCCCCCATTCCTTGCTGCTCTGTGGAGCTGCTCCCCCCCCCCGATGCCTCCCCCAAAGCCAGCTCCCCATAAGCACTGGTCCACCCTCCTCCCTCCCCCCTGCTGCCTCTATCTGTGGAGCAGCATCGGCAGTGGGCCTAGGCTCACTGTGGACAGAAGCTGCTCCGTGTATGCCGGCATAGTTTCTGTCTGCAGGGAGGGGCTATTGTCTCTATATCAGAGATAGCAGTGCAGGGCAGGAGGCGGAGCCAGTCTGGGCAGGGAGCCGTATTTTAAACTGGCTCCCTCGCAGACCAAGTCCTCCTGCCACCCCGCACTGCTACCTCGGATACAAAGGCAGCAGCGCGGGGTGGCAGTGGGATCCCCAGGAGCGGGGCTGGGAGTGAACTGACTCCTGGCCCTGCCCCCAGGGACTATTGAACAGTTTTATAACTGCTAAAATTTCATGCAGTTATAGGATTATTCAATTGCACTATATCTAACATCCCTAATGGCTTCAACTTCCCAGCCTTACTTCTTAAACCTTCCACTGAAACCAAATGTCATAGTTGGCCTTTAGCTATATGAATCACTATATGATTAAATCAATTCCTTTTCTATCATCTGATCAATTAATCAGTAGAATGAGAAGTGTTAGATATTCCCCACTGCTAAACAGCTGATCAGCAAGGAGGAAAGAAATGAAGAACAGCTGTTTCACTAGAAGAGTTGGCATGGGAAGACAGACACAAAAAGAGTAAGAAGGGAAAAATTATTGAAAAGAAAAAAGGAGGACTGAAATTAAGACAAGTTATCAATCAAAAGCCTGAAGTACACAAAAATGTTTTAAATGAGCACCTGTTTGTGGCTTTTGAGCAACTTCTCCAGATTTTCAAGAAATACCCTCCATCTAAATAATGCAATGGCATACAAAAGACAGAGATGGTGTAGCAATGTTGGGCTTCATAAAAAAAAACTAGGGCTATCAATTGACCTGCGTTAATGTCTGCGATTAATGCAGGACAGAATGCGTACTTTTTTTAACGTGTTAATCACAGGTGTTAATGCTGCGCTGTCCCTTTCAAGTGCCGCTCCGGCGCTTAAAAGGGGCAGTGTGAGTGGAGCCGGGGATCAACTGGAGTCCCCATCTGATCCCCAGCTCCGCTGTTGCAAAGCTGGAGTCCCCAGCTGATCCCGGGCTACATGCAGCACTGCCCCGCTGAAACACTGGCGTGGCATTTCAAAAGGGAGGCGCACATGATTAATTGCGATTAAATTTGTTAATCTCTTGACAGGCCTAAAAAAACCTTACTCATTAAGCCTTTGGTGGTTTACGGGACCTATGCTTTACTGTGCTTTCCCGATCCATTTTGGTCTGTCTTCTTCCTCCCAATCGCCTTTTTCCCCCTCTCAATCTCATTTAACCCATACCTTCTGAACTCTGAAATGGAAGGTTGATAAATCTCAAGACCAAAATACGTTCAAACACATACAGTCTCAGCCCACCTGACTTGCCTGATATTCTGGAGAAAGCCAACAGCAGCCTAATTGTCTCATATACATTGGAAAAACTGGGTCTTCAAGGTAAGCAGACCCTCTAATTGAGGCACAGAGTAGCAGGACAGCAATCTATATCACTAAACTGTAGAACTGCCTGCCTTACGTCCCCTTTTTCTTGTGACTCACATATATAGTTGACAATGATGGATATATCTGGTGACGTAACAGTGCACCTGATTTGCCTTTTTATACATACAAAGAAAGAAAAAGTTACACAGCTGCTCCTATTTTCCTTCAGGTTTCATGGATGCTTATACGTGATGCTACTTAGATTACTATGATTGTTCTGTATTGTTAGGAAGCATAAGGAAATTATGACTTAAGAGTTATAGATCACAGCTTTCAAAATGATCATTTTTCATTAAAACAAACAGAATGCGCAGCGGGCTATGCATACAAGGGAAGGCCTTCCCAAAACTGCCTACACTGCCCAGCTACCTGGGAGTGGCTGGGACCACACCGTATAGCTCTCTGGCAGCCAGGGAAGGCTAGGGCTACACCACTGGACTGCACCTCTGAAGACTGGGGCCAGGCCATGCAGCAGTCGCAGGCCTCAGGTGGAGTTGGGCGGGGCTTGCCTGGGAGAGGGGGAAAGGTTGTTCAGGGGCATTGTCTTGGGGGAAGGGCTGTGGCTTTGGGAAGACAGGGCAGGCTTTGGCTACCTTCCCCATCTGGGCCTTTACCTATCACCCATGATAAACAGCTGTTCATAGGATTGCCAGATGGTTGAAGCAAAAATACCATACACCCATTTCCCCCCCCCCCCCAACAACTTTGGTTCCCCCCCCCTTTTATTTTTCTTCAACAGAATTTTTTCCTGGTGGTTTGGTTTTAGGGGGGGGGGGGGGAAATAGGACTCCAAGACTTAAAGACTTATTAAGCAAAAAAAAACCCCAAAATTAAAATGAAGTAGTATTAAAACAGCATGTCCCCTTTAAGAGAGAGTGCAGGGATAGGAGCAGGGGAGTAGCTGAGCAGTAAGACCCAGGGGAGTCATTGCTTCCCCTTGGTCTTTTTGTCGGCAGTCATTTTGCGCCAGAAGCCTTGCGGAACCAGGTAAGCATGGGAACTGGGGTCGGGGGGTGTTGGAGGCTTGGGAGGGAGGGATGGGGCCTGGGAGGGAATGTCGGGCACTGAGTGTTTGTACGGTTACCAGGTGCCCGGCATTTTCGCTTGCTGGCCAGGAGAAGAAAAAAAAAAAAATCAGAAAATACCAGACATCTTAGGTGTCCTGTATTTTCTGATATTTTTTTTTTACACCAGACAGGAGGCAAAAATACCAGACTGTCGGGGTGAATACCAGACACTTGGCAACCCTAGCTGTTCAACACAATAAACTTTGAGAATACTGCCCTTTTCAGAGTGGATGTGGCTTTCTTGAATGTGTAAACTAACTTTTTGACATTAAAACATACTTGTTCACAACGTAAGTACTTTATTAAAGTGATATCTACCTTCTAGAGCTGATTAAACAGAATCATAGGATTGGAGGAGACCTCAGGACATCATCAAGTCCAATACTAAAAATGCATTTGTTCAACTTTCAACTGGTTGCTAAGTTTGACCACATTCATTTCATTTATTATTCACTGTTTGTAAACATTAACACAAAAGGGATTTTGTTCACATGACTGTTTTGGGAACTCTTGTTTATGAATATACTAGTATTCATATGCAAACAAGAATATTCATAAGTTAGAGAATGTTCATTATTCAGTATTTCAATCATCCAATCAGAGAACAGAAACGCTTTATGACTAAGTGTCCAATCACTCACCACAAATTATTCAGAGTGAATAAGTGAACAGTTTGCAACCAACCCATAAATTTAAGTTTATTTACCATTGATAAATATTTATAAATAATATATTAGTAGAAATTGGGGTCAGTTTGCAAACTATAGGACTTCGATCTTTGGTAGATTTTGACTCTTCCCCTCTCCTGCTTCCAAAAACAAAGAAGCTGAAGTGAAGCTTTATGCATTTCTTGAAGTGGCATGCCAATTGGGATGCAGAGGCCCACCGTATCCAAATTTCTTTAGCAGAGGTCTTACAAGCACAAAATGCCTCTTCACAGCCTCTGTACTCAGCAGAAGATCTCAACCACCACTCTATCTTATTTTAAAATAATGAGAACACCACCTCCGCTGAGAGTGAAAAAGTTCCCTGACTTGTACTACCTGCTGTTATGCCATTTTGCAGTGTTCTACCATTCTGCAGGATGGTGGTCATTCATCCACACACTAACTAATTATTTAACAGTTTTTAAACACTGCAATCATCTCCATTTGTAGACAGCCTAAAGTCAGACAGAATGCTACATTAAATCACCCTTTTTTCTCCATTTGTTTCCCCAAAGGGAAGGATGTTTTAGATCTCTTGAAGATTTTTTTGCTTAATAAGGAGCCTGTGACAACTTGTCCAGAATAACCACTTAATACACGACTTATGCCACCACAGCCATGCTGCTATTTTTAATATACTAGAACTAGATTGAGCACAGCTACTGTGTATATGTTTACCCAAGCTGGAAGTTACCCCTCTGAACTCTTGGGTAGACTAGACATTAAAGCAGAGTCTGCAGGCAGATGGCCAGCAGGTGGAACCTGTGAGGAAAGGGCAGCAAACATATGGCAATCTGACAAAGTTTAAGGCTGAATGTGGATAAACACAAGAAGATCCTCTGTGATGCCCCCAACATCCACACCTTCAAAAATACTGGCATGAAGAAGGTAATGTTGATGTGGGGGGGAACCAATAAACTTGAGATGGGATAAGAATGGGGAGAACTGGGACACAGAGGGAAAAGTGGCAGCAGCTGAGAGCCAGAAAGAGAAGGAGAAGTAAATGTGACTCAGAGAGAGAAAGTAAAGACTGAGACTACATGAAAAGCCAGCTTCTTCTCCCACTGAAACCTAGGAATGAAATTACAATAAATAGTCCTTTTCAATGAAAGAAGAATTAAAATGTGACAAATGAAACGGGAAAACAAAGGAAAACATTGAACTACTTACATGTTTTTGACGCTGCTGAATAAAAAACTTTTTCCTTTTAAAGGAAATTTTTAATATGTTCACCCTAAAGAAAAGAAACAAAAAACACTAAAAACAACCCATAAAAATTGAGCAAAACAATTCAAAGAAAAAGTGATACACAACACATGTTTTAATGCCTGTCAGACTTAAAAGATCCCAAAGTACATTATAACATTACACTTTCATGGCTATTAAAATGCACCAATCTCTGAGATGGAGACTGGCAGCTCACACTCACAAGCAAGAGAGGAGCAGTAACTGTGTCCAATGAGAAGGATCTTTTTAAGATCATTATTCAATAGGTACTCTCAAAGACTTGAGTATAGCATAAGCAGAAACAATATAGCATGTGGCAAACAGCATTCTGTACTTGCAGCAAAGACCCAAAAGAATCAGATTTTCCTTTTCATTGTTTACACACAGTGCATAGGACCCAATTGAATTGAGTTTGTGTGAACAGTGAATCATATTGTAACTATAGAGTACCAAAGTTTGATAACAGGATACATTAGACCATGTATAACATGAAAAATTTCAGCACAGAGCAGATGACAATACAAGTCATGTTACTATTGGTAAAAATTGTGTCACATTATCAATAAATATTTAGAATACGAAAAGGAAAACATGTTAGAGTATCTTTTGGAAAAATCCTATGCTACTGCATCTTTTAACACCCAACAGAATAATTGGTAGTTATCCATTAAACATTCTAATCACATACTTACTTGCTTTTGCAGGATTAAAAGAGAGGAAGAATGGAGGAAAGGCTCAGATATGAGTGCTAAGGTATTCCTAACAGATCAAATCCATTAATATTGTAATATCCTTAGATATTTTAAGTCGTATAGTTAAAAACAATCATGAGCTGTGATCTTCTAAATACACATGACATCAATGGTAACTCCCCATATTTGTTTGTTTTAGGCAGAGATGAATAGTGCCTAAAGCTTGTCTAACACTTTATATTATAAGCCCATTATTATCTGTTTAATAACATTTAGCCAACTTAATTGTTCAGGCTGAAATTTTCCATGCTTGTTTTTGTGTCTGGACTTTTTTTAAACGTTTCAGTCATTCATTCCATAATTTCCAAGAAATGGGCTACTGAAAAAATAGGTAGTTTTGCCAATGCTAAAATTTTCATTTTTTTTTTAATTAAAAGCTCTCTAATTACTGCTTGCTTGGGAGAAGAAATTTGATAAAGGAGTATTTGGAGTTAGAGATAACTATACCTTTAAGAAAACCCAGATTTGGCCAAGTTATAATTTTAAAACTACCATTTGTATGTGCACAGTAATGTAGGTTAGAAAGTTACCACAAAAATTTCAGAACATTGTACCTTAACTGAGTATACTGCAGACCAATGGAGGAGAATTTTTCCCAGTCCCCACTAAATCTCCTACATAAGCATCAGAGTTAGACCTTCAGATAGAGGATGTAGCAGGGACACAGCAACCAGACTTTGTTTTAACTTATGGGAAGGTGAACTGGGTTGGGAGCCAACTTGTAGTTCTAATGGAATGCACTTTACAACTCTTATTACTGCGCAATGCCTCACACTCCCTGCCTTAGGAAACAGGAGAGTAACATTCAAC